CTTTCTGTCCAGTGCTTGACCATTTTCAGAGAAATGTTTAAACCATCTAACAGTTCAGGTATAAAAGAGATGCCTAAACTCAGAAGATAAACAAGTTTTTTGTCGACACAGTACAGACCACTTGGATCTTTGCACTTGTTTCTATGAGCTTATCACAAAGACACAGTGTTCCTATTTTAGTTGGAACTGTAGAAATGTTACCACAGCCTGACACTTTTCTTTTGTCCTTTAATGTGGTTACTTTCTTTCTTTTTGAAGAAAACACAGGTACAAGGAGTTACCATTCGGAAAAAGAGTCCAAAAAGTGAAAAGAAAACCACTGAAAGACTTTCAGGAAACCTGAAGAATTTTTAAGACCGCTTTAATAAATTACAATATAAATGAAAACCAAAAAAATCAAACTCAAAGAATCAGTTTTGTGTTGTGTGTTTCCTTGACTGATGAAGCCTTCTGGATGGAAGGTGAAACGTTTCAGAAAAAAAAAACTGTCCAGATGACCAGACTGAAAATTGTTGGATACAATATAAATGGTAAATAGACTGTACTTATATCATCTTTGTGTCTTATGAAGACATTCAAAGCACTTTACAACACAATCTGTGCCCTCATTTACCCATTCATACAGCACTCTACTTGATCTCTACTAAGAATAATCAGAGCTTTGTCACATTCATACACCGATGGGACACACATTGGAGGCAATGAGGGGTTTAGTGTAAGCATGTGACTATTGGTGGAATCGAACTTCCAACTTTCCCATTGGAGGACGACAGCCACAGCTACCCTTATACGTAATAAGAGGCAGCTTAAAATATAAGCTTTACATCAGAGATGTGACTGTGTCCCACTTGACCCACTCACCAATATTTTCTTAACAACTCTCTGTGCGTGTACCGTGACGCTACGTTATTGCTTGCCTCAATCGCGTCGCACACTCAAAGGCATCTTGGGCTGGGTTCATAAATACCTAAAAAAAAAAAAAGAAAAAGTTAAAATAAAAAGATGACGGAGGAGGAGGAAGTGAACAATGAAGGCTAAAACGAGCCAACGCTGCTTTTATCAATCCAGCTTGATGCTCTGTTGCGTAACTGTTGAGATAAAATTAGCCACTTTAAAATCTGGATCTTCTGCAGGATAGCCTTCAAACATCTGCTTTATCGCACGCCTAAAGTGGGTTTGATGGGAGCTACCATGGTATTCTGGAAACGCTTCTCAAAAAACAGATGTACCGGTACCTTTTTTTTTTCTTTGTTGAAGAGTGCCTGATTCCTCATACACCTACAGGTTCTTAAAAAAAGATTGCATCTCGCTTCAGATAATGTTTTCTTGTAAATATGATGGTTCCACAATAACCTTTATCTTCTCGTGCAGAAAGAAAATACAAATGGTGTTATTTTTTTCACAACATGTCCGTGTAGTTCTTTATATTGAATTTTGTCGTTTTCTGGATGACTAGTGTTTCAATCGACCTCTTCACTGTCGTCTGTGTGAGAAACTGAAGTCTAAACATGTTGCATCACACTTACTGCAGCAGAACGTTACCCAGCTGAACATCAGTTCATTGTGTAGTGTGGAAAAATACATTTTTAAATCATATTCCATAATAATACAGATTTACTGTTGATTCTACTTTATTTGCCAAATTTAACGATTATGTAAAGATAATGGATGATGAATGTTTGTATTTTCTGCGTTTCATTTGTTGATTTTTTATTTTTTTAAATCTCTGCTTGTCATTTTCAGTGCGTGTTGTCTAAAGCTTAAGCTTGCACTGTCACCCATCTCATGTGAACTGTGACAACAAAACAAAGAGATGCTGTTAGTACCAGTGCTTAAAACGTGCAGCACTCCCTGCAGTTCTCTTTTTAAACAGTAGGTGTCCCCCTACTGAAAACCATATATCAGGAACAGCCCACGAAGTGTTCTACACAGGAAGTACTCTCTTCATATGAACACAACTATAAAGTTTTATCTTATCCAAGCAGTTTTTAAAGTTTCGGACATAGCATCAACGATAGGACCTTTTTTGCTTGTGTTCGTTTTTACAGACCACTAGAAACAAACCTGCTGGCAGAGTCTGTCCAGCTGCTGTTCCCACTGACAGCACGACGCTGGAGCAGCGTGTGACAAGTTACAAAACTAAGATATGCAGGACAAGTTGAAACGACCCCCCTACGTCTGGCACAGTTGTATTGAGAGGCTCGCAAACGGCGAGCATAAACCAGGTGTCAATGTGACTCAGCCCTAAGGTGGGACGAGTGGATAGGACCCAGCTCTTCATGACTTGATACAGGCTACTGCATGTTTATGAGCTCACATGTCCTAACAAGTGCACATGTTCAGCTTAGAATAAAGCCTAACAAGTGAGATATACATTTTTTGGGGGGTGGGGGGCTGCTCCTTCTTCAGGGGTCTCCACAGTGAACTAACTCGCACAAAGACTTGCAATTGTTTTTACGCTGGATGTCCTTCCTGACACTAACACAGACCACCGAGCTACCACAGCCCTCTGTGTGGAGCAGAGAGCTGCTGTCTAGGGCACCTGGGGGAGCAGACGGTGGGGGGTTAATGGCCTTGCTCAAAGGCTCAGAGTGGGGCAAATGAAGGTGGAGGAAGGTGTGTGTGCTTCACCTTTCCCACCCACCATATTTAATGTTGTCTGTCAGGAGTTGAACCGGCGACCTAGTATACTTGCCTTGACAGGGCGCTCATATCTTCCGTGATTTTTGTCAGTGGGGGTGGGGGTTGCGGAGACCTGTCTGTGTTGCACACTGCTTGTTTGTACCGACAGTTTTCACATGCACGTGGGAGGGTGTAGACGGCTCAGCGTGGGAGAAGACAGAGCGCTACCGCTAGCGCGTCTGTATTGCGCGCCGCTAGCTTAGCGCTACGTCAGTGTCAGCAGATGTCGACCGGGGGGGGGGGGGGGGGGGGGGGGGGG